TATATATATATATATATATATTTTTTTTTTTTTTCACAATTCCTTTTCCTTTGTCTTTTTACCCCCACAAATTCCTTTCTAAATCTAAGATCCAAGCACAATCTTAGAAGAAATGGGAGAAAAAAAAAGAAGTAAATTATAAAAATTCCACAACAAACTATGTTTAGTGGGTTTTTATTGATATATATTGTGTGACCCAAAACAAAGTATTCAGCAAAATACCAAAAAAATGAATCTATGACATTGATTTAAACTTGGTGTTATGTCAATCACAAAATGAATTTCATCTACATATTTCAAATTGTGAGAGTATCTACATATTTCAAATTGTGAGAGTATCTACATATTTCAAATTGTGAGAGTATCTACATATTTCAAATTGTGAGAGTATCTACATATTTCAAATTGTGAGAGTATCTACATATTTCAAATTGTGAGAGTATCTACATATTTCAAATTGTGAGAGTATCTACATATTTCAAATTGTGAGAGTATCTACATATTTCAAATTGTGAGAGTATCTACATATTTCAAATTGTGAGAGTATCTACATATTTCAAATTGTGAGAGTATCTACATATTTCAAATTGTGAGAGTATCTACATATTTCAAATTGTGAGAGTATCTACATATTTCAAATTGTGAGAGTATCTACATATTTCAAATTGTGAGAGTATCTACATATTTCAAATTGTGAGAGTATCTACATATTTCAAATTGTGAGAGTATCTACATATTTCAAATTGTGAGAGTATCTACATATTTCAAATTGTGAGAGTATCTACATATTTCAAATTGTGAGAGTATCTACATATTTCAAATTGTGAGAGTATCTACATATTTCAAATTGTGAGAGTATCTACATATTTCAAATTGTGAGAGTATCTACATATTTCAAATTGTGAGAGTATCTACATATTTCAAATTGTGAGAGTATCTACATATTTCAAATTGTGAGAGTATCTACATATTTCAAATTGTGAGAGTATCTACATATTTCAAATTGTGAGAGTATCTACATATTTCAAATTGTGAGAGTATCTACATATTTCAAATTGTGAGAGTATCTACATATTTCAAATTGTGAGAGTATCTACATATTTCAAATTGTGAGAGTATCTACATATTTCAAATTGTGAGAGTATCTACATATTTCAAATTGTGAGAGTATCTACATATTTCAAATTGTGAGAGTATCTACATATTTCAAATTGTGAGAGTATATTTAGTTTCAAAAAACTATTGTTTGTGTGTTTTTGTCTTTACTAATTTTTTTTTGGAAGATTTTTTGACATATATTTTATTTTTAGATGCATCAAAGTAAAAATAAAAGATGATCAAAATATTTTTTAAAAAATCACTAAAAAAAAAAAAAAAAAAAAAAAAATCAAAATTAAGCCAAAGAAAGGTATTAATTACCCTTCTAGGAATGCCCACAAAAGAGAGAGAAGGAGCAAGGGGGGGAGGGAAGGTGTGCTCAGACAAATGTTCCACCCTGTTACCATGCACTTCCACTATTCCTTTTGTGTCAAGAAATGGGAATGAATATGAATACCTGCAAATAACCCACATGGATTTAGAATGATCACAAATTTCCATATGATCTAGGGTTTATTACTCTTCTATGAGAAGGGTACAAGAACAAGTTCTTATAGGGATGACTCTTTATGAATTATATGTGGAAAAAAGAGAAAATTATTATTCAAAAAAGGGGTTTATTACACTATACACCTAAATTATCGTCAAATTGTCTATGTGGTTCCTGAACTATCGATTGTGTCTTTTAAATCCCTTAAGTGTATAAATCAAAATCTATTTAGTCCCTAAACTATCAATTGAATCTATTAAGTTCTTAAAATATTTAATTCAAATTTATTTAATCCTTGAAAGGATTACTAAAATAAAATATATGCCTATAGGTATTATTAATTAGTAAAATTCCCTACCTAATTAAGATTTTATTACAGAAAAATCTTAAATTTTTATTTTGTTTTTAAAAAATGTTTTATTTCATTGTGTATTTAAATTAGTATTAGAGTCTGATTTGTCAGTATTGTCAATAAAATTATATAAGTATTAGATATATTGAAGAAATAGAATTAGATAATTTAAATAATAACATTTTATTACAAAAAATTATAGAACAAAATAATACATTAACTAAGTTATAAAAGAACTTAGCCGAAAACTTTAAAAAAAAATTAATGAAAAATTATAAACAAAATCTGACATATAATATTCGATAGAAGCAAGTACGTAGCCATTGTGGAATATAAGTAAAAAAATATTAAAGATAATTACCCTTACCTTTATAAAGGAAATCCACCAGAGGAATTGCCGCTCACTTTTCAACAAATTTAAAAAAAAAATAAAATAAAATTTTAACTAGATATGGTCTTTTACTAATTTATAATATTTATGGATTGATATTTTTTTTTATAATCATTTTAGGGGCTAAATAATTTTGAATTTAAATACTTTAGGAACTTAATAGATTTAATCGATAGTTCAAGGTCTAAATAGACTTTTATTTATATACTTTATGGAGTAAGTAGACTCAGTCGATAGTTCGGGGAATAAATGAACAATTTGATGATAGTTTAAGGGTAGAAAGTGTAATAAACCCTTACAAAAAGGAAAAAACAAGAAAAAAGAGCCTCCACCTAATTTGTCTATCTGTCTATATTACCACCACCACCGATTGCCACTAGTGACTTTTCTGGCCTTTTTTTCTAGCAACTTTTCTGGTAACGGTGGTGGTGCCGATGGAAGTCAAGTGGTGGTCTAGTGATAGTGGGGTAAAAATAAAAAGAAAAAAAAAATTCTTCAAAACAATAATTTGTTCTTCTTACTAATCAATTTTATTAATCATGTTTTCGTCTCCATAAAAGATCAATCCTTGAATTAAATGCCATATCTCCTTAGAAATGGACTTATCACCAATTATTCTTAAAAAAAAAATGATGATAATGCTAAGAACACAGAATGGAGGGGTGTTCGCGGATCGGTTTTGTGCGGTTTGCGGTTCGGTTTTGACCCGCCCGCATCTATGCGGTTTGGAAAAAAGTCAACCCGCAATCGCCCGCAGTGCGGTTTGCGGTTTGTGCGGATAGGGTTTGCAAATGTGCGGGCGGTTTGCGGTTTACACTTTTTTCTTTAAAAGTTAATTTTCAAGTTTTTTTTTCCCAGCGAATTTAGGCATCAGATTCATTTTATATATTTGTGACAACAATTTTTTGATGAGTTTACAAATAAAAATTGAATATCAATGCATTAAATGAAAGTACCCAAAACAAAGAGACCCCTACACTAGCATTTTTGCTATGAAAAAAATGTATATCAATGCATTAAAGGTTGTACTCAATTAGAATTGCCAGTTCAGTAATCAATAATCAAACTATAAGTTCCATCGACCATTAGAAGGAAAATTTTATTAGGAAAAAGTGAATGAATCACCAATGAAAATCAAATAAGAAACCAAGTTTAGGACTTTATAATTCTACGGCATTAAGAAAGTTGAGAAATACTTAAAAATAAGGATCCTAGTGTCATAGAGAATATAATAGTACTCCTGTAAAAGTTACAAAGTTGATATATAAAGAATAATAATAATAATAATAATAATAATAATAATAATAATTAAAGTGCGGGCGGTTTTTGCGGGTTGCGGGTTTAAACCGCGACCCGCCCGCAACCCGCAAATTTGTCATATTTCAAACCGCAACCGCCTGCATTATGTTTGCGAAACCGCCCATTTATATGCGGGTTGGGCGGATTGGACGGTTTGAGCGGTTCGGATAAACCGTTGCCCACCCCATAATGAATTATATGTTGAAATTGCAGTGGAAGGTTAGGATTAAATCCAGTTATGGAGAGGTCCACTTTTAGAATGAATCTCAATATACCACTGCATTTTATGTGATCCATTTTGCATTTTAATTTTGTATTCTTAGCAGATTTTAAAGAAGACAACACAACAACCATAGCCCAAGAAGTCAGACTGAAGAGCACATCCCAAATATAGAGAATCAATATATATTTTTGTTTACCCTGTGCAGTATATGATAGTGTCTGCTATGACCCAAGAGCCATCCACAAATAAAACCTTTCCATCTTCTTGAAGAAAGTCTATCTGCAATTCATTAAAAGGGTTTCAACTTATCAAAAATCAGAGTAGACTAATGATTTGCTTTTACCTATCCATATATAATAAATATGTATGATTAATTCATTCATTTCTCTTTTATTATTTTTTCTTCACAAAATCCTAACATAATTTAAGTAAACTAACCAAATTTTTGTCATACTCCTCCAAAATTGTTTGAATTGGCCAAAGCTAAATGATTAATTAGGATTCCGATATGATCAATGATTATGAAAGAGTCACCTCAACTAATTAATATTTAAGAGATGTTAAGACTTGTTACAATTTACAAATCATACAATTTTAATTTTAATGATTTGCCACAATTTCATAAATTGAAATGAATCACCTCCATTTCAAGCTTGTAATCGAGAGGACAACAACGTTGAATTACAATCAAACGAGTCAACTCAAAAGTATGTCTATTCTATTATATAAAGTCTGTATTTGAGTTGGTATAAGTTTGTCACGCTTTTTAATTTTTCTTTTCAAATCAAATTCTGTAACTTCTCACATCATATAATTGTTCAGATCAAATTCATATCAAATTTTTTTGGAACTTCTTACAGTTTTAACAGCATACTTATCGAACATACACACAATTAGTATATTATAGAATTTGAACTTGGGTATAGAGAGATACCACGGGATGAAGGTGGATGTTGTCATGTTTGGAGATGAATTTGGACAATCCTTCAGAAATATCAAGAGATTTGGCACTGAGATGGACCTCCTTTGCCACATCCACAAGTTCCATTGATATATCTTGTCCACTCATAAAATTTCCAACCACCACCACAACCTGTACAATATGATGGTTATAACATGAGCTTCTTAACATCTTAATCAAATGAACGTTGATGTACAATTATGCAAATTGTACATAATTATTATATAAATAATGTGACTTGTTTTGATTATTATTATTATTATAATATATATATATATATATAAAGGAAAATTCTATTATAAACACCCTTACCATATGTGCTCTTAAGTTATGCAATTTTCTTCTTTAGTTATGATCTTATTTTAGTTACGACTTACAAGATTTAGTTATGCCTCATGTGTTGTTTGGTTACGATTTTTTTTTTTTTTTTTTAATTATGACTTAGAAAGTGTGAAATTATATCATTTTATTTTAATTCTAAGGTATATATAGTACACACCCATAGCATTTCTCATATAAAAAACAAAACAACACCCAACATATTAATAATTCTGTTGGTTTGACATTTTATAATTCAATCAACTAGGCTATGAATTTGTCACTCATGTACACTTTCAACTTAGAGGTCATGGGGTCAATCTTATTATTTAGGGTAAATTATAAATACATTATTTGAAATTTATTTAAAATATGCATTGTCTCTGTAGTTTTCGAAATTATATCTTGCCCCTTAAAATTTCTAATTTAATAATAAATGGTCCATTTTATTAATAAATCATCAAGTCAATTAATAGTTTTTAATTGTATCATAAATTAAATTTAATTAATAATTCAATTAATTTTATTATTGTATAAAATAGCAGTTAGAAATTTCATTTTTTATAGTTAATTTTATTAAATAAAAAATTCTAATAAAGGATATTTGTAATTTTTCAAACAACAGAGGACAATTCATATTTTAAATTAAGGGTTATATTTGTAATTTATCCTATTATTTACTTACTCTTGCGGGGTGTGTTTTGGGTGCCTCTATTAACACACCACATTTGATCTCAAGGCACATCACTACTCAATTCACACCTTTAATAGTTTGAAAAAACATAATTTTTCTCAACACGCACCACAACATTCCATTTTTTCCCTTATCCCACATCACTTAGTACACACCTCAAATTTAACCAAAAAAAAAACCCTAACTATTAGACACTTACCACCGGCGACAGCAGCCATCACTAGCAACCACTATGAACGCCAACCATGGCCACCGCCGTCAACCTTTTCTCCCCCAACCATTTCTCCTTCCGGTGAACCACCCCCAGCCCTCGTCCCCTTCTGGTGAGACTCACCTAGCCCTCATACTTCACCTACATTTCTCACTGTCACGATTTCCAGCCCCTACCGTCATGATTGCGATCGCGCGCTGCTCATCTCCCATGACCCTGGTGGCACACCTTCGACTGAGAGAGAGAGACAGAAACAGAGACAAAGAGATAGAGAGAGACAATCGCGATCACGATTTGTACTCTCACAATCTATGAGGTAGTGGGTTTCTGGGTTGGTGATTACGACGGAAGGGAGGATGGAAGGTTGACGGCGACGAGGGTTTGTGGTGATGGGGATTCGCTGGAGCTAGAAAGGGGCAACGAGGCAGCAGTGATGAAATGGCGGCGGCTGCAGCAGTGGTGGCTAGGGTTAGGATTTGGATGTGTATTCAACTAAGGTGTATATTTAGTTGTGGTCATTTTGGTCATTTTAGGTAAGGTCATTATTGTAGTAAAAAATAATTAATGGTGTGTCTTGAGACTAAATAGATGTTTTTAGAGGCACACATGTTTTTTAGCTATTTATTTATTTTTTCTCTATTATAGACTTTTTCTTATAATGATTTATTGATATTGAGCTTGCGATTTGTTAGGTTTTATTCTTGGCAACCCCGTTTGAAAAAACTCCTTTCAGTTGTATTTGTTTTCGCACATTTTATTTCAATGAGGCTATGAGTGTTTAGATGGGAATCCAACCCGAATCGTGCCTTTGTCAATTTCTATGGATCAAAACCGAGGTTGTAACAGGATCTAGTTTTCCAGATTTTCCAATTTTGGTCGTCCCGCTCGAGTAGAAAAAGTGACGCTCGAGCGGGGATTGCAAGCTCACAGCATCTCTGTGTCACCTGAAAAAGTACTGGATGGTGTGATTTTCAGCTTGAGCGTGGAAACTTCCGCTCGAGCGTGAAGCCTATATGAATCACACAATTTTGAAGCCTCCGCTCGAGCAGGAATTACCACGCTCGAGCGGACCCCGCGAACACAGATTCTTGGATTTCTATAAGAAATTGGTTTTCTTCCAAAATTAGGATTACTTTGGTTTTCTATAAGTAGTTGGTTTTCTCCCAAAACTGAGATAAGTCCTCCACATCTTCTTTTTGGATTCTAAGGTTTATATTTGGGGATGTTTTGCTAGTTTTCTTTGATGTTTTCATTGAGTATTCAACTCATGGTTTAAACAGTATACATCAAAGGATTATTTGTTTGTTCTACATAGGTGGATTCTGAAGAATTCGAGCCTGAAGCTTTGGTGGATTCCGGAGCGGCTCATCGTCAAGACAATTCCGAGGTGAAGACGGGGTTGGAAGAGGCACATAGAGGTTGGTTCAATTCGGGCGTGGATTTGCTAGGTAATTGAGAGTATACATGTGTAATTCCTTTATATCTTCTTAGTGGATTGTTTTATGACTGTTGCCCGTGATTTTTTATCACAATTGGAGGTGTCCAATTGTGGTTTTTCCACGTTAAAATCGTTGTGTCGATTTGTCTTGATTGTTTGATTGGGATTGTTTTATTGCTTAAAATTGATACATAATCACAAATCAACATCTAGAGGATTTCTAGATTTTTCACGATTTGTCTTTTTTATCTTGATATTTTTCTTATATATTGAGCTAATAAGCAACATTCTGAAAAATTGACATTAATGATCTGTTTGAAATAGGTGTTTAAGCATAGCTTATCTCTGTTTTGAAAAAATGAACCAGAAATAATTAATAAGTCATATTTTTATTTCAATATTATAGGTTCAATTCTTTATAATAACTTATTGTATTTCAATTTTATTATTCTTGTTAAAAATGCTCAAAAATTTTATAACCTATTTTAATCTATGTAAAATTTTTAATTATAAATATTTTTATTTGTTGAAATTAAATAAAATTGTTGGGATTAGTTCACCCATATACATCATTATACATCTACTTAAAATAGGGTGGTAGAGTTCAAAATATATTGAAAACTCAATCTGTGTAAGGTTTTTGAGAATAACGTCAAACTTTGATTTTGGAGTATATCTTGGATGGAGCAAATTCTCGAGTTCTAAGCCTTATTTACTATGCCAAATTAGTAGGTTTGTACCATATGCACTTGTTATTATGTATTTTTATAATAAATATTACATAGTTTTTTTGATAGAATTATAACAATTTATGGTTCAAAAATAAAGATACGAATTTTGTGATAATGTTACGTATTTTTTTATCTAAATATTTTTTTAATAAAAAATATGTAACATTATCCCAAAAATACATAATATTATAACGAAATGTGTAACTTTATTTTTGAATCATAATATGTCGTTACTTTTAAAAACACATAATATTTATCAAAAAAATACGTAACATATATTACAAAAATGTGTAATAATGGTGCATATTAAAGACACGCTTTGAGGGGTGTGTACAACAAATTACCCATTATAAATAGCCATGGGATGTTTGTAAGAAAGTAGTGAGACAACAATAGAGATGTGAGAGTGATAGAAAAAAATATTGCGCGATATTGTTGGGATTTATATGACAACCCACCAATGCTAACGGAAGCACTCCTACGCATACATCAAAGAGAAAAATAATCACATAGATTTACGTAATTCAACCCAAACTGCCTACATCTATAGGAGAGAGAGTTTCCACTATGAATAAAATAGAAAGTATATGTGAGATGGTCAAAACACTCAAAACTTACACTACTACCCAAGAATATATGTGCGATGGTCAAAACACTCAAAACCTACACTACTACCTGAACGCCATGCTCAAAGGTAATTGAGCCCTTGCCCACCTAGTGCCTACATTATTTTTTCTTTCACTCTTACATCTCTATTTTTTTTCTTACTACTCTCTCAATCTCTCTGTAAGAAACCATATAATCTACATAACTATTTATAATAATCTACTCATGAGAATCATAATCCCATACCATTAGGTAACCAAATTCTACGCATATTAGGTTTCCTAGAAGATTTTGGATTCTATTATCATAATCCGAAAACATGTATAAACCAACCTAATAACTAACTATATGGGACCTTCCTTTATCATATGGGTGGACTAATTCTAACAATCACCCCCTCCACTCATGTGGGGTAAATGTTATATGCATCCTCCAATCTAGATATCCTAATTTGCGTGATACACTCCACTTTTACCCAGAAGATGTTACACCCCTTAAACTGAGTGACCACGTTATCTGCACCTCATGCAATAGTGCTTAAACATGTTCTTCGTGGCTTCCTTTATCCTCATACCCAAGCCCATAAAAATAGTCGCACTTCCCTGTGATGTCTTCATTGTTATAAGCCAAACCTTTGTAGAACAGAGACTTGCGTCCTCCTTCGATATACACCATCTTGTCACAAAATTGTCTTAGATTCTATACCTGAAGCTTTCTTCTATGAACATTTAGCAACCCGTTGTCTTCCTCTTAGTGACCACCAAATATCTTTGCAACTATTTCTCACTAATGTTCACCCACAACTACTCGTCTGATGCTTGACAGTAGCTCCCATTTTGTCACAACATACTCTACGAGCATGTACAAGTAGCCAATCATGATGCCCAATCAAAAAAACATTGTCTGATTGTCCCCACAATGACTGGACTTCCTAGAGGATTGAATCGAATCACTCCTAGATCACCTTTGATCATGCACGGTCAAACTCGATCACCTAGATCATTGCCAAATCTGTCCAATCCCTTTAAACCTATTTAGAATCAATAGTGCTGCAGACCCCCACCACCCCCACATACACGTGGGGGGCAGGAAGTGGATGACAAAAATATATATATATATATATATATATTTTAG